TTGCGAAACTTGAGAATTAAAATACACTCGTTAAGACAAACAAAGGAACGAGCGAGACAAAATGGGTCTCCAATCGTTCTGAAGTGTTTGCATTACAGTTAACCAAACTTGGAATTGTTCTGGTGTTTGACATTTGCCGATTTCGCGTGAAGAGGATATTCGTGATACTATACGAGATCTAATTTATTCTTGCAATCGAAAAAGTTACGTATGTAAAACAGCCGTACACTTACTAATTACGGAGACGTGAGAAAATTTTATTTTTAGTAAAATAATATTTCAATACTTTGACCTATTTTTACATTGAGATAATCGTATGCAAGGTTAAACTTGAGAGATTAAATTGGAAAATTTTTCGGCACGAACAAGGCACGGACAATATCCATTCATGAATGTTCCGCATGTCTATCGGCCCACGTTTGCTGCACGTGTAACTCACTGTTAACGGCTAGTGGTCGCTAACGCAACAACAATAGCCCAGCATCGAACGAAAAAGGATACATAGCGGCAGAGCGCGCGTATGTTACGCCCATCGGAATTCCAGTGTACGCTTTAATTATTGGATCTAATTGCCGTGGATATTGCTAGGTACTGCCCTGTACCCCGAGATCCCATCGACGCCAAACTAAATGGAATTTCATTCCCTTAAATCAAGCGGCATTGATCCCACAAGGTAAAAATTGAAATGCAGAAAACGCAAGCGAAACTCGCATTTTTCCAGTGTATATTTCTGAAGCGCGATTCGATTACCTTCGCGCATTACAGAGTGACCAGCAATCCGTGTCGCGGCTTGGCCGATAGATAACTTCCTTTTCCTCGCTTCACCGCTGCTTCTTACGCGTGATCCGCTTATAGAAGTATAAAATACAAATAAATATAAATATATAAATATGGATATAAATATATATAAATATATATATATATATACGTACGATGATAAACATGCCAACGAAGGTGCCTACGCGTAAAATAAGTGAACGCGAATGCATGACAAACTTATGATTTTTCTTTCTCATTTTTTACTTTCTTTCAAAGATAACACTTCAATTATGGATTTACGTATAAGAATTTTTCGCTAACGCTGCGGTAGTATATCCAATCTGCTTGTGGTGAGAGGGTAGAGCCAATTTTATACATGTTCGACGATATTTTGTACGAACGCAATTGAGAACGGTGTTGCGCGCGCGCGAGCGCGCGTGCGATGAGAAGCGCTAAAACGTGCAGAAGAATGCGCCCAAAGAGCATTCGCCGTACGTATGTGGTCGCTGCGTGCAACGCTTTAGCGATGTAATTTCGATACAACATGTATCACATAGGCATATGGAGTGGCGCAAGAAAAATCTGACATTTCTTCGCTTCGCCGCGAGAAGCGGTCTCCGAAGGGAGAAAAAGAAGAAAGAGATAACGAAAAAAGGTATAACAGGAGAGAGAGAGATGAAATTGTCTCTCCACGCTGTAAAATGCGGGAACAAATGTTGGAACGGATCCTAAGTCACTACTTTCATGGGGAAGATGTGCAAGATTTTCTCGCGCCACCTCGTAGACAGCGTGCATTTCGAGAGTAACATGATAACGATGTGCGAGCACTTTTCATCGACTTGATCGAATGATACGCGCGCGGCACGCGCGCTTAGCCGTGCCTGGTCGCTGACGTTTGAGGCTAAGTCAATGGAAACTGCCGAGTACGCGGAGTATATAAAGATAATCATTAATTAATTAATTGTCTTTACATTTAAAGAGCGTATACGATGAAAGTAAAAGGAGCAATCATGTTTCATCAATATAATAACGTAATTAAGATTAAGTTAACGCGCCCCGCGGTCTCGGCCGAGTATGGATCGGGGCCGCGGAAGGCAATTGCGAAGGAAAGATAATATTGGGCTCGAGGACGATCGCTCTCGATGATATCAACTGCGCAATCCTGCAATCCCCGGCCGGCCGGCCGACTTGGGTAGCCGCGAGCAATTCAACGCGGCCGGCGTCGTCGTTTCTGCGTACAAGTACCACTCGCTTCTTCTTCATCTCCTTTTCCCCGTCCCTTCCCCTCGCTACCCTCCCATATCGTCCATCTTAATGAGGGTTGTGTTTATACCCTGTACTTCTCTTACCAGGAGTATCTACGAGTTTGTAGAGATGTTAGTGCTTGTCCTCGAGCCTGAGGTGCGCGCCTGCTCCGTCGTAAGCTCGAGAAGCTCGAGTCTGTTCTGTACCATGACAAGCGTGTATTTCTGCTTTTCTCTATCTTATGTACGTGTTCTTTTCTATCCGCCCCCCTCGCACCCATTCTTTCTTCTTCCTTTTCTTCGTTTTCCTGCCTCCCTGCCTTCTTGTGTTCGCCTCCTCCCTTCTCGCTGCCGAGCGCGCGCGCGCCATATCGGCCGCTGCCGCATGGCGCCGCCGCATCGATCTCTCGCCAAATTAAACCATTTTCATCGCGAATACATACGTCACGTACAGAACTTACCCGACGATCGCGAGCGTTCTTATATGTTATATCCGCGCACCAGCATATAATCGCTTATTTATTTTTTACGTTAACGTACATTGCCCTTCAAGAATACTCGTACCCTATCACGCCTAATTTTTTCCCATCCACGACTAGCATACCCACTACCGTTTTAATAATATGCCCGTCATACTATCCACGCATTGAAACTGCTATGTAATTTAACGAATCACTCTGCTGACGTTAAACGTAATGCGTGCGTGTTTCTAATTAATTCCCATTTTTTTTTCTACATTATCAAGACGTATCTTTCTCGCCAAACGTCGTATATGTCAGTACCGTAACACACACGTTGTACATAGCATATATGGTACAGAGAAAATAAACTCATTTTATAACGAAAAACGTCGTTTTTTTTTCCCGTTCTTTACGACACGTGTAACTTTCCTCGCGCCCGGTTTTGTAAGGCTACGTTGGATCCCAGCCAAAGCTATACTTCTCTACATAAGAAAAGTCCTTGGGATGACTCGCGTAAACGGAGAAAAGAACAGCAAGGAGAAAGTAGTTACTACCTGTGGCGGTACGGTTAAGATCGGCGTTGACGATAATAATCCTTCTGTCGTTGGCAAATTATTTTCATACGTATGTACGGAAAGAGACCATTGTAAAGAAGATTGCAAAGTTCTTAACGAGTGTTATTGTTAGTTACGAGCTAACCAGTTCGACAAATTCCATGATCGAATCATTCGAGAAAATTATCCAATCAATCTCTCGTCACGCAAGATGTTAAATCGGGGACGAACGCTCCTTCATCTCAGTGGTAGTGGAAATAAACTGGTAAGTTCATATCGATCAATATATCATGATGCGATGTTCTGCGATGACAAGCGAGCGGAACGGTAAGATATCTTCAGTTATAGAAAATGATTTGCAAAATATATTTCATTGTGCGATTAATAATTTTGCATTAAAATTCTGCATTCTTTAAATGTATCATCTTAGAATTGTAAATCAAGGATGAAAATAATTAATATACAGATTTTTTTATTGTTAAACATATCAAGCAAATTGTAATAAACTAATTAATTTTATTTTATGGTAACGTATAAAAGTACATGATCTTCGTGCTATCTAAAATAGACGTCTGTTGAATGTCATATTTAATCATGGACGAGAAATCCATTTTCCTCCCATGTAACTAGGACATAGCGTTCCCGTATATCACATTTCACGTAACGTGTAATTTTAAAATGAGATGCCTCCAACTTGAAATTCTCATGCAGCACGATGTTTACGATATTAGTGCAACAGTAACTAACTGATATTCTGTATATATACGCGACTAGATTTGATCGTAAAACATATTTTCTGTTAACAATGATCAAGAGTTTGAATAATAATTTTGGATCAAATTCTACTGACTAATGAAAATTAAATCTCTTCGTGAAAACGCTCAAAGTTTCAAGCGCAAAGAGATTCGCATCAGAAAGGAGGAGCCACGAGTAAAAGGAAACCCAATGTATCGCGAGTATATAAGGTGCGTCGTGCCGCACGAGCGAAAAGTAGACCATGTAAATGTCCAAGATCACTGGTTTCCAGCATCCGCTAGTTGCACTTCTCCGGTGCGCGATTCAATAAGCGTGAGAACCTTGTCGAGTGGTCGCGAGGAAGAATATTTATGAGAAGAATATTAATAGCCAACGTTACTCGAGTGACGGGAGATCCAACAGAGAAAAAACTATGAAAGAAATATGATTTTTCTCTTATATTATGAGTAAAACCATCATCTGTTATTACAACTCAATCTCAGTTTTAACAAATATATTGTACAATTTACAATTACGAGCGCAATAAGCAGCCAAGTCATGTTCACAAAAAGAAATAAAAGCAAGAGAGATAACAATTAGATTTTCGCGAAAGCGCTCCTTCGTTTTCTATTCTTTTTTCAAGCAAATAAATTTAATCGATTTCATAATCTTGTATAAAAATATACATATAATAATAAACTATTTTAATTGCATAAATATAAGATTTATCAATAATTTGTTAGCTATCAGAATATACTTATATTAATAATAAGAACGTACGAGTTATATTAGCAATTTCCCGCAATTATAACAATTTTTCAATGGATCCACAAATATCTATTAGGTTAGATATTATATAAATTAATAATCTAAAGCTGTCTTCAAAGTATTTAAAAACAATTTTTTTAACTTATAAAATGCTGATAATTTTTAATTGTTACAAAATATTAACTGTTTGTAATAATTAAACGTAACCTTTTTCTAAAATCACTTCTGTCCTACATTTCAGTGACAGGCAATAGTTAAAAATCTTAACATATATATATATATATACACATATGTGTGTTTTTCTCATAAGAAATGATTATTAAATTATGTGACATTAAATTTAGATCTTATCTGAAGACA